TTTTTTTTTCAATTAGATGACTCGACAAGTATTTGAGTTTTACTTCAATTTTGTTCTTTCTTTGAATAATTCTTCAGCCTGATACTTACAAAAATTTCTCTCAACTGATCTGGTGCGATAAAATGCAACTTAATCTTTAGACATCTTATCCTTGTTAATAACATTTTCAAGATTCAAAAGCACTGAATGGAAACGGGTAACGGAGTGAGTAGTGAACGGTCCAACAAAAGCAAAAAAAAAGCAAGTCCTCGGTCAACCTTCTCCCAACGTTCTCTTTCAAAACACTTGTGAACACCTTAGCTTGATTACCCTCAAGATTGCAAGGAATGGACTCTACCAGCATTCACGACGTTTTCAAATAAAGAAGCTTCAACTAGCAGTTTGGATGGCACTCGGAATGTTTGATGACTTTTGTGAGCGATTGATGCAACGAAACTAATCGTAAGTTGGAAGTGTCTGGAACCACACAGAAGGATGTGTTGATGAAGAGAACACACCATTAATCCATGAAGCATGAAGGAGCAAATGAAATTAAGGGCAGCAAGGCAGAAAGATGGTTCATTCATTGTGACTAGCAATGTTTCTTTACCTACAAGTTTCTGTATGTTGAAAGTAGAACTGAAAAATGGCGCATGGAAAGAATACACAAATTTGTTCCGGGTAGATTTTGGCGCAGAACTTGTGTAAGACTATGTTCCACGAATTTATAAACACTACCGATTACGCCTTGTTTGTCACATAATCCTCTTATGCAGCTGTTAAGTCAGAAGCGAGGCAAACTGTTTTTAGTGGTTCCCGAGTGTGGTTGACATGGGTATCACACTACATCATCTCGTGACGTTTCATGGATTACTGGCGTGTTCACTGCATCATAACTTACGGCAGATAACGTATTCCAAACTTTAATAGCTGAACGGAACTTATCACTTCAAGGAGACGATGTAAATCAATGACGTATTGGCGACCGTGGGGACACTGTAACATCCATAGAAGAAAAAATATGGCTTGTTGGAGCCATTCTCCACACCCCTCATGTGTTTCAAAACAGTTCTCTCTTAGTAATGACACCATACTGGGACGATTATCTCAGACAGTCAGATCCCCGTGCTAAACTTGATTATCAATTACTATATCAATACTGATTCTAATGCATTAGTCAGCTACAGTGTAGTTGACTGCTCAATAATATTTCAAGAATTATAAGATATCAACATAATGTGCTCTCTCAACTTGAGATTGATATGTCTCAGCTCAGCGAATTAGAGTGACTATAAAAGTGAGCTGCCGGATTATAGAAATCGTTGCCCTCAGGCGAGAAGTTTTTCATTTTCAAAAATTTTTGCCTTTCAGAGCCCATGAGAGGTAAATTTCTCCCGCTTTATTACACTAAGCTTATATTGCGAAAATCAAGCGAATAAGCAGGCTCATTTTTGTCCGCAGAATAATAATATATCACTCTATATTTGAAACTTGGTATGCTCTATCTATTACTAGTGATGAGGGAGCAAACACTACGTTGGATGTTATCGCATCCACTTCATCAAACATCGCATACTAATGTACTGCGCCAGACAATGCCGATACACTTGGAACACACTAAAAACAGTTTGCATTACTCTGGGCTTCGTGCATTATAATAACATCCAACGCTGTGTTTGTTTTCTCATAACCGGGAATAAATACAGTATCGAAATTCTGAAAGACAGAAGAAATACGTGATTTTAAAGAAAGGACAGAACATCTCCCGTGCTCATACGAGGCGATGAAAATCTCCTCTTCCAAAATCAAATCAACATAACTCATGGTTAAGTCACTAAAAACAGTGTTGTCTGTTTTCATGGAAAATTTGTCATAATTTATTGCTCGGATCCCAGCACCTTCAGTCTTTCGCTTTTTTTATAAGTGAGGAATATTGGTCGAGAGAACTTTCCGTAGAATCTAGGATGAGGTCGAGCTATGGTGGTCTTATACGTTGAGTAGATTGGTTAAGAGAGTATTATGAGGGGATCAAACCACTAAATTGCTTGTAGCCTTAAATAGTGATGTGCTGTATCGTTAAACTAACCACTGCGCTACTTCGTCCACATAGAACTGTTAGATTTTGAAGTCTTTGCTTGTAAGAAGAAAGTCTTTACAAGATCCATAGCGAAGCCAAATGGGACAATTCTTACCAAATGCCCAAATCTGTCCATAAGTCAACTAATTGCCCAAAAGTTAGTAAAGAAACCGATGCAGTGTCTGAGATGTTAATTAGCAAGAATGAGGTGAGAATAAAGTTTAGTTGTGGTGATTGGTGATACTTCTCTAGTTTGGGAGATTCTTTATATGGAATTGGATACAACGAAAGCCACGTGTACTATGACTGACCAGATGCTTTAGGATAATGCGCAGTTTAAAAAAACCAGCTTTTATTTAAACACTCCAAAAGTGGTAGGTGAAGAAAAACACCTTACTAATGGAAAAATTTGCTTCAAATATACAATGTGGCACTGAAACTTGGCTCTGCCTTGTTGTGCTAGCTTGCGAAGTCTGTACAAATTCCAAGAAAACTAATAAATGGAAGGAGGGTCAATAGATCGAAGGCCAAACTGGGTACCGCTGATTCCGGAGAAAAATACACCGCTTTACCCAGATGGATGTGCTTGTTAGATGGGTTTTTTGAAATGTTCCTACCTTTATTCTACAGCTGTCCGAATAATTGTTATATGCATATAAAACTGAGCGCATGTGGTGCAGTGATTAGGGGTACCCTACGTCGCATACGAGGTCGATGGTTCGATCTCGCACTCATAGCTCACCAAGCCATTCATCCCTCCGGGGTCGGTAAGTTGGTACCAAACAGGTCTCAGACTTGTCTTGGAGGATAAGCAGCACCGACTCGATGCAGCGGGAGGCCACGCAAGTCATTGTAAAGGCCACATATGCATTCAATTACCTTAGAACGAAAACGAAACTTAAAGATAAATGCATGGCGCATTCCTTAGGGATTGATCTACGCCGATAACTCTATCCTTTTACATGTAAAACTGACCCAGACTGAAAATACAACGCATCACTGCTCTGTCCATATTCCAAACCTTATGTTTCATCGCTATCCCTTTTGCTAGTTCATTTCTATTGTAGTGCTACGATAGCTGACAGAAGCCGTTCAGTGAACGAGAACACAGCTGCTTGATTTCAGGTGATGCTGCAGCTTCCGTCATCCATGCAGCTCTGTGTGCTTTTTCCTTTCGTTATTCTTCGATTTCAGCACGTCACGGAATTATCCGTCGTCATGTGAATCTCATTTGTTTACTATCATTTTACAGCTATCTCAATTTTCGCTCTTTTTACACTTTTAAGATGTATACTTTAAGCATATAGTAGATAAGCAGAAGTTTCAAATCAGGTGTGATTTTTACCATCATGTTAAAAAACATCAAATTACTCAGAAAAGCAAAAGAATATCATTTTGAAATCATGTTTTGCACTCAACTTTCTCTTTCTGAGAACAGTCAAAAATAATTTCATCGTAAGGGAAGTCTCAGGCAGGTGCGTTGTCGCCACCTTGTTCGGTTATTAACGGACATCAACGTGTCTTCAGAGTGGCATATCCGCCCAGCATAAACATTCTTAGTTAAAGGCTTACTAGGAACTAGACTGCTTTGTTATTTCGTTAAAGCATGATGTAAGTGAGTGAAGAAGAGGATGAAAATTGTTCAAAGAGTTTCGGACTCGTTGACTTCCGCGAAATTTGTTGCGTATAAAGATATCGACATAACCAAGAAGTGACTATCGGCAAGTAGGACGTCTGGTCGGTGTGGTAGATGCGACAGAGCTGCGTAGCCCAACTCGTGTAAACTAAATTACTCTAGTATGAAATGAGTATTGTGATAATATGTACTAGTCACAAAATACGAAAAAAAAAGTTGCCGAATTCACTATGCAAAGTTACATGAGAAATCCGACAATGATTTTTGAATAGCCTAAACTGTATCATTACAGAAAATTATTCCAGTGTATGTGTGAAAAACTCACACAGTTGGTACCAACTTTGTCGTTGTGGTCTTGATGTTCCAAAAACGCTGCGGTAGTGACAATGCCTCCGCTCACCTCAACATCTTGAAATGCATTTAAAAACTGTCTTCCTAATGCAATCTTTTTTACAGATGAAAAGGAATCAAAGGCCTGCTACCAAAATAATGCCTTCTTCTCCCAGGACAGAGCTCTTTTTTAGACTATTACTAATCATACAAAAGCGTAAGTTTCAACCATTCCAATGCTCTGCTAATTTTTTTGAAAGACCTTTTCACTGCAAGGTGAAGAGGATAGAAGATCGAGTTTTACATATTCGGTGTACGTACTTGCTCAACGCCCATCTACAATCGAGGATTATGGTGATGGCAGATTCAAAGCGACGGCCCGCCATCGATCGAGAGATGGAGCTTCCGCGGGTCACATTGAAACGCAATTTTTTGTCATTCGATTAGGAATTTCTTCTCCGCTTTGAAAGAAGCATCAGATATAACGTATGACTCAATTACTGAAAGATTTTTTCTCTGCACGTTTATCTGCTTTTCGTGTTTCCAGAGAAGTAATAGTTGAATTGCGAGATCGATGTAGAACATAATTTTATTTGGAAATTTACAGTCATCATATAAGGTCTTTTCGGAGACGGCCCACGTACTGAGCTAGCCAGAGATTTAGACTTTCGAATGATTACTATCATTCCAATGAAAATTTCTTCTCCAACGAGAAGGGTCGTTTTTTCATTTGTTATCCGGATAACGGAAAAGAACCTGTGTATATGCAGGTATATATAAATGTATGCATATATGTAGCATTTATATATATATATATGTATATATTATATATATATATATATTTATATATATATATATATATATTATATATATATATTTACTTATTTATATTTGAAATTTCTAGCATTTTCACTGCACTTTCGCAGTGTTGTGATCATTCATATATTCCTAAGAGAATTGAGTGGTGAGCAAAAACTCGGCCTCAGGCGGGAATCGAACCCGCGTTTATCCGGACGCGTGCTCTACCACTAAAGCACCCAGGTACATTTGCCCCACCTACTCATTCTCTAATATCTCTATAACAGCTGTCAGCCACCAACCTTTAACAGGTTTGGTCGGGTTGTGATTTCGCTCTATAAACCCACTTGAGCTGAGCTCCTAGGAATATGTGAATTGATCATAAGACTGCCAAAAGTGCAGTAAAAGTACTAGAAATTTCGATTAATAGTTATCATAATGGCTGTCAGCTCAACTGGGCTTATAAAGCGAATCGCATGCCCACCAATCTGTTAAAGGTTGATGACTCACAGCTAACGTAGAGATTTTGAAGAAGGAGTGGTGGCGCAAATGTACCTGGGTGCTTTAGTGGTAGAGCACGCGTCCCGATAGACGCGGGTTCGATTCCCGCCTGAGGCCGAGTTTTTGCTCACCACTCAATTCTCTTAGGAATATTTATATTTGTTCTTGCATCCACAATATTATTTTTTTCGCTGCTTTATATCCGTCTCCTGATGTTATAGACTAAATCAAGAATGCCGAATGTTATGCCCGTGCTGCCGGCAAGAATGAAACGCCAGTATATTTGCCGATTGAGGTTCAGAGTTTTGATTGCCATTTGGCATTCTTGAATTATAACTATAACAAAATAACATTGATGATATAGCGATGAAATGATGACTTTTGTAGAATACACAGTACTCTGCTCGCTCTTTAGCGTCGGAAGTTCTTCAGACGCCAGCAGTCCAAAGCTGCTTTCTTGACACGTTATAGTCGATTCAATGAAGATACCCCTGTTATCTACCTTACAGACCTCTCAAAACGAAGTAATCTGATAAGGATATGACTTGTTTTGAGCCGATAGGTCTAGTGCTATATAGGCGCCTATTTCGTCCTACTGGGACTCATCAGTAGCACCCTCCCGCGGTTCCTTCGATCCCTTGGGCTAAATAATCCTCTGGAGGAATCGACGTCGAGTAAAAAAATAATCACCCCAAGTCAGATGATAGTATTACCTGACGTTGTGGTGACCGGCAGTCGAGCTTGAGGCTTTATAATGAATCATACCTCTGCTATCCTACTTGGCTGATTCTTTTTTACTCGGCGTCGATTCCTTTAGGGAATTATTTAGCCTCAATGGATCGACGGATCCGAGGGAGGAGTGCTACTGATGAGTCCCATTAGACGAAATAGGCGCTTATATAGCACTAGACCTATCAGCTCAAAACAAGTCATTTCCTCATCAATAAAGATAGCTCTGGAAATTTGTCTACTGTGATCAACCACTTGGAGTGCTGATTTCATTCAGAAACTCATAGTTCTTCCAAGTCACTAACTTCTTTCTTCCTGTGTTCATTTTTTGGGAAATCCGTTTAAGTCAGCTATAATTTTTTTGGCATAAAGTATTTATTCAGTGATAATCCAAATCAATGAACCAGATGAAGAAAATACAAACAGTGGCAAATGATAGCATAGCAAGAAAGAAAAATGTCAAAACAAATGAGTGTGCGGGAATGTGTAGAATACGATAAATGTGCGAAGAGTGTAAATAAACAGTAGACTAAATGTAAAGAAAATGAAAGAAGGCGGAAAAAATGGAAAGGTTTGCACACAAAAATAAGGTTATAGGAGCGAACGACTTAATTCTCCGGAAAAATAAAATTGAATGATTCATGCTGCTATAGAGTGGAGATTATAAGTGCTCCTAGTTGCAGGCGTGCGATGTTCAATAGTATCACCAAATAAAAGAAAATTCCAAATTTTAAGCCATTCCCGTTATCCGCCCCCGCTCGGCAACGTGGGAAAAATACGTTTTTTGGTGGTTTCAAAGTTCGAGCCGTCATTCGATGGTTTATATCTCGAAAATTTTGAAAATGTATTTCTTCTAGGATGTCCTCTTTGATGCATTGGAACGTAAAGATATAATCATATTTCCTCATTCAACCATTCTTCTCTGAACGAAGCTTTTTCTTCTAGATTTATAGTGATGATTCGATAGCTCAAATCTCGAAATTTCAATAAAATTGTGGAACTACTGAAAAGAATTTTATCACGGTGTAACAACCAAGAGAAAATTCAGTATCGTAAATTTGCATAGTGTATCACATTTGTTATCTGCACCTTTCTTCGGTTCTTTGCAAAAAAACGCGCCTTTCTTTTGTTTAAGTTTTAACAGCTATCTAGTAATTTGATTCTCAACAGATTTCAAAGGTATATTTTACTTCTAGAGTGAGCTTTTTAGTGCACTGTAACAGCAAAACATAATTATGTTCTCATTCAAACAATTCTCGCTGAAAATTTCTTCCTTTAGACTTTTACTAAACATTTGATAGCGTACATTTAGAAAATTCCAATATTACATTTGGTTTACAAGAGGACTTTCAATGCACTGTAGCAGCCAAAAAAAGTTAAGATATGCGCATCGCGACATTGGCAACACACCACCGCGTTTTACCGATATGTGGATTGGGTTTCCCAACACTGCCACTAAGCCACCGCAGTTTTTCGCGCGTCAGATTTGCAAAACCCAACATTCTTTTGACTACTACAGCGCACTAAGAGGTCGTTTTTCAAAAACCAAAACATCGATGAAATTGTCGGTAGATATACCGGTAGATAAACTATTAAATGGTTAGCAAAAGTCCAAAGGAAAAGCTTTGTTCAGCGAAAAATGTTAAAATGAAAAGCATGATTTTATTTCTGCTCTTACAACACACCAAAAAAGGCATTTTAGGAGTAAAGTGATTTTTTAGATTTTTTCGAGACTCAAGCTATCGAGTGACTATTCAAACTTTGAAAACAGCTAAAAGTAAACGTCCTTATCGATCGTCCGAACTGGGGGCGAATACCCAAAAAGCACCCATATTTCTGTGTGAAAGAGTTAAAAATAGCACATTCCGAAAGCAACTTTATCTTTTAGAGAAGTTATTCAAAGGATGGCAAGTTTTCTCATGCTTCTAAAATGAATTCCTTTCATGAGATGTTATGGAGAGATACTCAATCAGCACTACAGAAATTAAAATTACGCTGATTGGTTGAGGCAAGCTATTGAGTATTGAAATAAATATATCATGCAAAAATCTTACAAACTATCGTTTTTGAAGTTGTTCTTTGGAGAATTCTCTTTTATGGACGATTTGACTTCACCTTTATCATATCTTGAGTTGGTGCATAAACAACGAACGTAGTCGAAGCCGCATCGGTCCAGCTCGCTTTAACCTAATCGCCCGATCCCAGTTGTGAGTTGTTCGAATAAGTCGACGTTCATGTCAAACTGATTTGACGAGGGTAATAGTTTGTTGTGAAAAACAGATCTTTTATGGCACCGTGGGCAGCATGAAATGGGTAGCGCCTTTTCTTTCTAAAAAAGCTGTTAAAATCGTGCACTATCTTCCTTGCCGCATTATGAGGTTATCCAAAGAGATTTCGTGTAGAAGCATACGTGATTATATATAAATAACCTCACTACCCTTTTAAGTAGTCTGGGCTGCCTAGGTGGTTTTATCAGTCCTCAGCTCGCCTTTCTTAACACCACCATAAGAAGTTTTGTCTCCAGGAACATTCGAGTTAATACGCCAACGTGGAATCGCCCAAGCGTCAGGCAAGCGGAATCTCACTCTCACATGTGGAAAGCACTGCACAAAGGTGATAAAAGAAGATCTAAAATAGAGAAGAGCAGTAGTTATGGCAGAAGCTGCACAAGTCCAGAAGAGCATTGGCAGAGTCCACAAAAGTTTTGTCACACTTGAAGTTAGGATGATTGCACCATGACACACTGATGAAACAGTTGAAGCTTCTAGAGAGGCAGTGGAGAAAAATCATGCTAGTTTACTGTTCAAATCTCTTCAATAGTCTAATTCTCTCACTGTTATATTTAATGACAAGGAATGAATTTGTCATTCTCACTATCACCGATTTTTTTCTTCCAAAATTCGGTATACTGCTTCGTTGGTGAGGAATCGAACCACCAGTTAGGGCAAGATCTAAACACCTGAAGAACATTCCGCCACTTCTCATGAACATACTGCTCAGCTGTTTGCCATTATCTGCCAAATACAATGTTCCCTTTTCAATGGAAAACTAGCAGGACTCCATAAATGCTCAAGAAGAGAGAAGTCCACGTCAGCGGTGACCATTGCACAATTTTATTACTGTCCGTCGTCTATCAATTCTCCACTTGAGTCATCCTAAACGGGATTGCGGAACACTAGGCGAAGGACAGCCATACGAAAAAGCAGGGTTTAGAAAAGGAAGAAAGCCAGGAGAAGACGCAAAGATTTTTGACCGCTTCTGGCAACATGTGGGAAGAATGCAATCCAACAAAGTCTTACGAAAGCGATGTTTATGAGAAACGGAATAGATTAAAATTCCTATTCACACTCGGCGAATATCTACGAATGTTTCAGTTACGCCTGTTAGGGCCGCGTCAATATTTGTATGTCGTAGTTACAAAGTTGAGCCGGAGAAAGCGACCTAACGAACGTTTGAGAGCATCGAAGATGTCGTGAAGAAAGCGACATACACCGTCTTCGTGCCTACCTGTTCTGCCCAATGGTAAACTCTAGCTAAACATATGCTTCAGACACCAAATCGCTAGAAGCAGGATAAAAGATCACTTAGCGTTTCTGTACGCACAAGCAGAATGTCGATACTAGGGATATTACGTCTTCCGCAAAAGAAAGTACCCAAATCAAAACATAGAGTTAGCCCCGTGGAAGCCTGGCGAGTTTCTTATCAATGTCATCAAAAACAATGTGAGAAGCCTAGAACAAGCATGGAAAGATAGCGTCAAATGATAAGCTGTAATCTTGTAAATATTTATATCATCAATTCCTTCGTGGCTAGAAAATCTAGCTGAACGTCCTCTTAACGATCTGCTTTGGGAAGCTTGTAAATATCGCTTTTCTTAGATTCACTTATTTCCTTGCTTCAACTATCCACGTGTTTTTTCGCACTCATTTCACGCCGTAGGCTGCTACTGCTTGAAAATCCTTCGCTTTCATCACGAATGTCATTCAATGTCGGCCCAGTGTTTATAAAATTAAGA